TAGTTCAAGGATATAGCAAGATCAAGACCATTTCTATATACAACTCTATGGACTTTAGGCTCAATAGTCTACGGTGATGAAAGATTGTATGGATCTTGGTGGACCACTCGTCTTGGTCGCTCACTCACCACATTATACCAAAAGATCACCTCAGTATCCTCATACCGGAGAGTTCTCATACTAAACCTCATATGACTAAAAATTGCAGTCATATGAACTGGAGATGCAACCTGAAGACGAATAAGCTTTTCATAACGCGTTAGCCTTGGTTAGCTAATAGTTCAACAACCTTCCACCACCAAACTATAAAAACTAAAATTAGAATTTACTGCAAAAATGCACATACATAAATTTATAATAGATTAATAACATTCTAATGAATATATGAATAATCAAATGTTAATATTCATATTAGAATTACGTCAACAATATACATATACAACATTCATTACAGAATAATAACATAAACATAGTGTTTTTACGTTCTCACACTATTTACTATTTTTATTTGAACTTACTTCGATATATATATATATATATATATATATATATATATATATATATATATATATATATATATATATATATATATATATAATAACATCGTACAATAGCATCTACCCGCAGTTTGCATTTAAATAAAACTAAACATGGTTTTCGATTTGGTATTAAAATTTAACGTTATGATTGAATAATTTCAAAATTACTTATGTACTGATTTATTTTAATTTCGTTGGAGATGATTAATTGACATATGAACCATTGTTTATAAGTTAATATAATGTAATTATTACTATTAATTAATTAAAAAGCTTTTATTTTAAAATAAATGAATTATAATAAAAAATAGTTTTCGATTTTGTTTTTTCAATTTGACTTGTTCGCTCTATATTTATGATATTTAAATATTTTTAATTATCTTGATAAATATTATTTTGAATCTATATATATATATATATATATATATATATATATATATATATATATATAAAGTGTGATATATGTTTTTGATTTAACAAGATATTAAAATAAAAAAAATAAATATATTATAATAAACATTTTAAAACTCTATCGATAATAAAATAATGTTTTGCATTTAATAACATATATTATATTAAAAGATTAATTATATTAAGTTGGAAATTAAAAGTTCATGGAGGTTTCAGATGCATGTAGTGATAGGAAATATGTCTCTTCTATAATATAATATGATGATATTATTCTAATACATAATTCATAGTGTTATGGAATCGCTAACAACATTTTTTATAGACATATTTGATCTCATCTATGCCTTGAATATCTTTTGCCTAGGTATCCTTTTTCATAAAAAGATTTCGATCGAATCATCCAATTTGAAAGACATGTAGAACTGACATAAAACTAGCGGTTATATATCATTTATCCCACAAGAGATAATACAAGTTGTTAGGTATCTTTTATCCCACGAGCTTATACATGTGACGTTTGAGTGTTTCCAAAGCGGACGACATAGACTTTCTTTTTATAAGGGGTATTTATATGTTTTATGATTCTAGTTTAAAAGCATGTAACATCATGGTTAATACACACATCCGATAAGCCGTAGTACCATTTGGTTAAAATCACATTATATAACAATGTTCCTTTCATGAAGTCAAATTTTATATTTTTCAACACGATCAAATTTTAAAATTAATATCTTATAGTAAGGTTTGATTTTTGAGCGCTAAAGAAATATTTAGAAACCTTTTAATAAAACACCTCTTTTATTATATAAGGTCCGGAGTTTCATAAAATCTCTAAAATCGCCATTTTAAACATATAAAATTAATATTTCAAAAGTGTTCTAATTAATGTTCTTATAAAATTATAAAAATGTTCCTATTTTAAAATCATAATTTGTTATATCTTATGTTTATAGGTCAAACTTTGAACACTAAACTTCATGTGATGTAATTAATGTTCAAAATATTATTAAGCATGTGAAATCATATTAAACAACTACAACATAAATATAAACATCACAAGCATGTATAATTGTACAAAACAAGCTATGATCTAATAAAACTTTTATGAGTCATCAGAAAAATACCAAGTCCTTTCCTAAAGGGACAAAATGGAACAAATCATCATCATGTTACTCTTTATCCTCCAACTTGCTTTGACAACTTTTTGTAAAAAAAACTTCAAGGTTTCATAAAAGTCGTAAAACCTTTATGGAATCATGGACTCCGTTCACTACTTGTAAGTCCCCAAATCTGCTTGTGTATCAATCAGATCCAATTGATGGTGCGGAATCCCAATTAATTGGATGATGTCAGATCAAAATAGAATAGAAGGAGAAGAAGAAGAAGAATCTATGATGTATTAAAGACTGGAATGATGAACAATACACAAGATTCACACACACTTTCTTCTCTCTCTATATTCTCTCACACCTTAGAATACACATACTTAAGCTCCTTGGCTCTTTTTCCCTCACATGCACTCCTCACCCTATATATATATATATATATATATATATATATATATATATATATATATATATATATATATATATATATATATATATGGACCTAAGGCCAAGCCCAAAATACAAATAATCCAATGCTAGACCGAAAACACATAGGTTTTCGGTCGAAGCTACAATTAATCATATACTATTTTCGGCCCAAATAATAAAAACAATAAATGCTTAGAAAAGAAAAGTATAAACCATATTTTTGACACAACAATCTCCCCCTTGGTTTATACCTTTCTTTTCTAAATGACCCAACAAGCTCCCCCTAAAAAGGTAGCTGGCTTTTCTTGTTAATCTTCATTGTGAGCTTGGCTTCAACATTTATCTTCAAATTCTTCACAACTTCAAGATGAACTTGATGAATCTTCAATGAATGACTTCATCTAGAGCAGTTGGGCTTATCTTCAAAATTTGACATTGAACACACATTGGGTGAGGAAGCTTCATGTACTGATTCTTGAAAAATAGCGCTTTCAGCTTGAGAATCTTCAGAGAGAACCAACAGAGAGAAATAATCTTCTGGATCACTTTAGCAGGTACAAAGATAGCAGCAGACTGATTGAGGAGGTTTCAATGCAATCCGTCACATAATCTTCAATTATAGCTTCACCATGCTTCTGGGGTTGAAAGATTGAATGTCGAAAGAATAATCTTCATTTCTTGCTCCTTCGAGTGAGAATTCTTCGATGATCACGGATAAAGCCTTGGCTCAGAAAATCTTCGATACAGTCTCCATGAGTCTCATCTACATCTGAATTCATTTTTTCAAGACGAAACAAAACTAAAAGAAAAACTTAGCACACAATATTTTTGGATTTTTTATATTTTCTGGAAAAATAAAAACAGAAACAAAAATATTTTTGGATTTTTGATTTCTCTGAACAAGAAATAAAACGGAATATAACACTATTTTTGGATTTTTGTTTGATTTTTGAATTTTTTTCTTTCAAAATAAGATCAAATAAGCTCCAAATCTGAAAAAATTGATTGATACAACCAAGCTCTGATACCACTTGAAAGTCCCCAAATCTGCTTGTGTATCAATCAGATCCAATTGATGGTGCGGAATCCCAATCAATTGGATGATGTCAGATCAAAATAGAAGAGAAGGAGAAGAAGAAGAAGATGAATCTATGATGTATTCAAGATTGGAATGATGAACAATACACAAGATTCACACACACTTCTCTCTCTTGTTTCTCTCACACCTTAGAATACACACACTTAAGCTCCTTGGCTCTTACCCTCACATGCACTCATCACCCTATATATATATGGACCTAAGGTCAAGCCCAAAATACAAATAATCCAATGCTAGACCGAAAACACATGGGTTTTCGGTCCAAGCTACAATTAATCCTATACTATTTTCGGCCCAAATAATAAAAACAATAAATGCTTAGAAAAGCAAAGTATAAACCATATTTTTGACCCAACACTACTAGAAAAACAGCCTTTTACGACGCGCAATGCGTGTCGTAAAATGCTCAAACGACGCGCAAATACGTGTCAAGGAAGGCCCTGTCATAACGAGAGACGACACACTTTTGCGCGTCGTCTATAGACGACGCGCATTTACGACATGCATTTATGACACGCAATTTGTATCATTAAAACCCCTGTCAAGAAAGGCCATGTCATAAATGAAGATGACACACATTTTTGCGTATCGTAAATTTAAATGTTTAAAAAAATATATTTATATTAATTTTTAAATTAAATTTGCATTTAATGTCTCATAATAGAAATAATATACCATATACAAAAAATACAATCCATTGCATAAAATTTAATGGCATACAATTCTATTTCTTACAATATATAAATTTGCATCTAATCTACTCTATACATCAAATTCCAACTAAGTAAAGTTGCATCTTGCCTTTCATAATTCTATTAAGACTAATGAACCCCTGCTCCGATAATTCTTGTGACCTGATCAAATAAAAGTCAAAAAATTAATATGCTAATATAATTATTTGAAGAATCAAACATGGAATGTTGGGTGTGAAAGACTAAATTACCCTTTTCTTCATCCAAAGAATGTGGGATTTGGAATAAATACACTACAATATGAATTACCTGATATCAACAATGACAAGAATAACCCCATACAAATGGTAAATATTACCTGTAAAGCTATCAACAATGACAATCACAATGACAATCCTTGAAAATCTACTCAATGGGAAAGACAAGTGAAAAATGGTTTGTATAATCGGATATACTTTTGAAAGTAGAATTTACCTCTTTAGCCTCAACAAGTGAATGCAAGACTATGTTGTAAATTGGAGCTCCTAGAGTAGTTAATTGGTTTTCTGCCACACGCAAGTAATGTTCAATCTCACTTATCATCCCTTCTGATCCAAGTGCTTTCACATGTAATTTGTAAATCAAACAAAACTATATTTTTAAGTATTTATAACCATCTTAATTTCTTTAACTAAACAAGTGGATTGTTCTTTTACTTTTATAATAGCTTTTTATTTAACTAACCTTAAATCCCACGTTCAGGTTCATCCTGCATGATTAAAGTAAACAGACATAAATTTCTCCAGTGTGTAATTAATAATTAATGTAAATTGTGTGATATATGGTTACTAACCAGTGTGTCACATGCTCCAAGCAGCTGATTATAAGGGTAAGCAGTTGTACACTGGCCCATCTCACTCAAGAATGACTCAGCCAAATTCAACTCCAAGTCTTTACTGCATCTTGCTGATAATGCTGCAAGATTTGAATCAAGTGGCTTCATATTCCTTTCTTCCATCAACTTTACCTGATGCACAAAATACACAAAAACAAGAAAACATTATAGAGGAAGGGGTAATTTGGGGAAATATGAGGGGTATAATATAAAATAATGCAAATTAACTACCCTCAGCATTTTCCTTGATATTGAATCCTCCCCTGAATACTAAATCCACTAGATGTCGTAAAGCTTCACATGCGGACCCCACGTCTCCCAACCTTGTGAAGGCCCATATGAACTCCTTCCAAATGTTATGGACATATGGTAAATTTTTCTGTAAAACTGCAAGCTGAAAGAATAAATTTAGAATAGACTCACTTATAACCAATTTTTTAGAATAGAAATTTAAAGACAACAAATAGAGAAATTAGCATTCAACGTAGCCAAATTAGATCTGAATTTAATATTCGGCTAAATGCAAGAATTAGCAATAATGTACTTTCCAAAAGAATTTAATATTCGGCAATAAGCAGGTAGATTTTTCAAAGTACAATGCCCTGATAATTAATGTAGTTATATATTTTCCTCTGTTAACATTGAATTACATTTTTTATTTTGATTATTTTAATTTACTTAGCTAATGCTCTTTAACATTGATTGACTACAGCATCCAGTTTGTGTTCTATTTCATATATATAAACTTACAAATTTCTCTGGCCTTTCTAGTGGTTGCTCTCTTCTCTAATGTGAAGACTGCTGCCGGTTTGTTGTCATATATTCCATATCTGTTGGAGTTGCTTAAGCTGTGTTTGTTACACCGACTTGACAAGCCTTCTGTGGATATTTTTCATGGATGAGGATAAAGAAAAAGAGAAAAAAGGGGATGGATGATTGATTAGTTTGTAACCTGAGTAATGATGGCAGTACAAGCACTTCCAGAAGCTGCAAGAATCAAATTTGCTTTTGTTCCAATTGACTTTGTGTTGTATTTAATTTGATACAATCTTTTAAAGTAGTTGTATCCATAAAAGTATACAAATTATGCTATAAAAGATTGTAAGTTCTTTGTTCCAAGGCCTTGATATAATGATAAAACTCGACCACTGGATACTGCTTCCAACAACACATCTGATGGTTTCCTGTAGGTAAAAACATTATGGAAGAGTCCTTAAAAATTCTTGTTTAAGGATTTGTTTCTTCAACCTAGTCAAAACTCATTATAATATTAGTTTTTTGATTATTAGGGTCAAAATAGTTAGATTTGTAGAAACAATTTAGGAGTTCTTGCAATAAAACTGATTATGGATATACATGTAAATTCCCTTAACTATCCTTAGCACTTACCACAATAGCAAATATAAGATTCTTAAGAAATCTCCCAAGATGATATAGTAATATTCTAGTGTAACATGTTTGCCATCTTCTACTTTCGTAGCTTCCATGACAAATCACTGACCCTTGAGAAGGTTATTGGTGTCCCAATTGTTACCTGTAGAGACTTTCCAGCAGGAGAGAGGGAATACCCTAGCCTCCCTGTATGTCTAAACTTCCCATTAAGATACACATATGCAACACTGGCTTGAAATAGTCCAGCCAAAGCATTTGGTTTGCTGTGTACCACTGCAAGGTGATGTCATTGGTCTTCATTAACATCTAGTTAACCCTGAAAAAGACAATGAAGATGAATTGCTGGTTGCAAGGGTTAATATCCCATCTTCTTGAAGACAGATCTCTGCATAAAATGTGTCACCACCATCTGTTGCAGCAACTGAGAACAACCGTAGAACTTGTGGGGCCGTGGTACTTGTATTCCTTTTGGAAAATACGGTATTGGAAGATTCAACATCTTTTGAATTTGATTTCAGGAAATTGCGATGTTGAAACCAACACACGAATGAATAGCCTGCAGCAGGAGGCCATGATCTTTCTCCTAATGACACGTGAATCGATGCATATCCGATCTTTCTCATGTCCATTTCTATAAATGGTGCAAGTGGAACGTTTTCTGAAGCTGTATCTTGCATCACAACTATTCTTTCCATCATATCAACAAGAATATGACCAGGATTCCTCTGTCTCATTTGCAGAAGACATCTGATAATCATTCTAAGTTATGTTGTTGCTAGCCTGTAAGCCCCGAGTACTTCAATAATCTTTAAAGCATGGGAAAGTAGAGAGGATGAACCCGAAAGGAAAGGATATATTGTCTCCAAAAGAAGCTCCACACAACCTGAAAAAAACAAATAGCAAAGATAAGATACGGATTGCTTCTAACAACTTTTAAAATATATAGACAGAGTTAATTACCAGAAGATGTTAGGTTTTTTTTTTATTAAAAGGTCCAGCTGAAGCAAGTTCTTCGATAAGTTTCAGCAACTCCAGCTGTAATTTTGGAGTAAAGAGCAACAATGAACGAATCTGGACCTTCAAAGCACCAGCATTATATATCCGCTCTTTATCAGGAAGAAAACATTATAGAGGAAGGGGTAATTCTGGTGTTGAAGCGATGGCTCAATCAGCCCTTTATCTCCCCAGCTGTTGTTACACGGAATAAATAAGTGAAAACTTTCATGCAAACTGGTAGAAGCGATCGCTCAATCAGCCATTTATCTCCCTGGAAACTATGAAGTGTTGTTAGGAGAAGAGAAACCCAGTGGCTTCACCAAATACTCTATGAGCAGAACTATTAGCTCCTAAAACCCTCCATAAAGCTCCAAAAACATCACATTTTGCATCATATTGAAGGCGATATTGAGATCCTAAAGAACTGGTAAGCATCCCACTCTTTGATACTTCAACCAGCATGCTCAGTTCCTCTGAATGAACCTAATTAATATACAACTTTTAGTCAATAAGAAACGTAACTAAAGATTAAAGGTTGGAAAATTATGCAAAGATTTAGATTTAAATTTAGCCTAACTGTGAAGAATCTTCAATGATTAAACATGATATGACACGAAGGACACCTGGACGATGGATATCGAAGACCAAAAATGGTAGAGCAGTAGTTACACCATTTGCAGCTCGGAATGTTACTTGATTATGTTCTTCTTTCTTCAGTAAATAGAACAAACAATTCCAAGAAGCTGAGATTGTGCCTTCTGCTTCAAAAAGAGAGAGCTTTCCAGAACCAGAACCCAATGATAGAGAAGAAGCAGCAGGTGCAGGCGCTGTTGTGGTGCGATGTTGGAAATGTGGAGTCCGAGAGAAAACACAAATTGTGATGGGTAGCTATCGTTGTTGGTGATGTCCGATTCATCAAAAGCCCGAGTTCTTCGGCCAATCGTCTATTTTGTGAAAGAAGATATTACCATTGCAAATGCGTTATGTTTGATTAGGGTTTGCACAGAGAAGGAAAGTAAAAGTAGATCGTAGAGGAAGGGGTTTGCAGAGAGAAGGAAGGGAGAGAATGAAGTCGATCTGGCGGGTGTAGAGAGTACAGAGGGAAGGCGGGTGTTCAAAATTGTGGGGGATTTCATTTTCCCCCTTACCTATCAAGGAGTCCCAGAAACGCGCGTTTAGTAAAAATTATAAAGTGACATTTGTAGAGGACACGCTTTTTATGAGAGGTGCCCTCCGTGTTTTTTTTATTGGACATTACTTTTAGGGTGCGCAAAAAATGCGTGTCCTCTATCCTTCAAATTTTGGAAGGCTGACATTATTTTTAAGGACACTGTAACATCTAGATACCCAGGTATCTTATTTTAAGTATTTTGTTGAATCTTAGAAAGGAACTCGGCGAGTAGGCGCTCAGACTCGCCGAGTGGAATCGCGCTTCTGCCAGCCTGGATTTAATGAAGGGACTCGGCGAGTCCATGCGTGGACTCGGCGAGTCCGTGCTGTTTAATGAAGCCCTAATTTTCGGGGCTTGTGCCCTATTTAAAGTCCCTTATGGCCGTCATTTGAGGCCACCTTGTTCCAGATAAACCCTAGAGAGAGTGAGGAAGGCTTGAGTGCAAGAAAGGGCTTATAATCTTCATTTTGGGGTGATTTTTGCTAGAGAAAGAAGAGAGGATCCATCTAGAACGTGAAGGGAGCTTGGATTGGAGCTAATCATCTTGAGATATTGTCTCTGGAGGTATAATCCCTTCTATTTCGTATTGATATGATAGATTTCATGATTTTAGGGTTTTTACCTCCCCTTTTTATAAGATCTAGTGAGTATGAGGTCCCCTTTGTGTTGATGATATCAGATCTGGACCTTGAGAGGTCCATAGAGTCACTACCTTCTAGCTTTTTGCAAGAAAATAAGCAATTGGAGACTAGGTTGCCATTTCTAGTGATATTTCTCCATTTGAGGCTTGATATGGGTTGCATGCACGTAAAGGTTGCACCTTTACGTGACTTTTGAATGTTTGAAGGATGGATCTACTGTTTGGTGAATCAGATCTGACCTCAAGAGATCTTTTGAGAGTTTCCATGGGAGGAACTCGCCGATTCCATAAGGGACTCGACGAGTCGAGTCGGGTTGCCCCGTCACTCGCGATCTGTAACGACCCGGGGAGTATAGGGTTGACTCAGTGAGTCAAGTGAGGACCAGGGACGAGGAGGCAGGCATGTACTCGCCGAGTCACTCTAGTGCACTCGGCGAGTCTGGTCAATGTTGACTGTTGACTTCTGTTGACTTTTAGGGATTAGTCAGTGTTTGGACTTATGAGCCATTAGAGGGGCAGAATGGTCTTTTACCCTTCTTAGAGAACTTATAGAGAGGAGTTGGCCAAGCCTTTAGAAGTTGTATTAATTAGAGAATTTATTTATGTGATTAGGTGAAGGCTAGTGCAGTATTTCAGAGTTCGAGGTTTACCGAGTTACTCGAGGTGAGTCTTCTCACTATACTTTACCTAGGGTGGTAATTAGAGTTATGTGGCAGAGTATTTTGTATGCTTTTGCATGATGTGATTTCTATGTGATTTATGCTATGTATGTTACAGAGTTTACAGAGTTAGGACCGGAAGGTCCACATAGTTAGGGCCAGAGGGCCCACAGAGTTATGGGATTAGAGGGTCCCACTGAGACACATTGACCAGAGGGTCAAAACAGAGTTATAGCCTTGAGTGGCTAATACGTGTTGTGTGTGGTGTTTTAGGGAACTCACTAAGCATTTATGCTTACAGTGTTTTGTGTTATGTGTTTCAGGTACCAGTGAGGATCGCGGGAAGGCGCCGGCATGATCAGACACACTATTGGAGTTTTATATATTATGATCTTGGGATGTGTTTTTATGGATTTGATATGTGATACATTGGAATTCGAGAATATTTATGAATGAAATTATATTTTAAAAAGTGAAAAATTGTTTTGAAATTTACGGTGTTACAAGTTGGTATCAGAGCCTTGGTTTGAGGGATTCGGGTGCATCTTCGGATGAATCTGAACTCAAACTGAGGAATTGAGAAAGTTTTCATAAAATAAACAAATTTTCTAAAAGAGTAAAAAGATTTTGAAAAGAGCAGAGCAGAGCAGTGTGTACGATCAGCTAGCGCCTGAACGGTGGTTTCCTAAAATACCCTTACATTATGTGTTATAAGATATGTTATGATATGATATGCATGATAGAGTAGGCTAGGTATTACTATTAGGACTAGAGTGGCCTGATCTGTGATGCCTTAGCCTAGGAGTTACTGCTACTATGAGATGCTTCGAGAGAAAGTAGGTAGCAGCGAGGAACTTATGAGTGGTTTACTAGAGAGTAGCCTGAGTTTAGTGAGATATGGAGTACTGGTGACCTGGGATCCAAGGAGGAGGACTTAGGGTGAATACTGATGCGGTGTGGACGGTAGTATAGGGCCCGTACTACTGAAGACACCGGAGCAGTGCGCACTCTAAGTAAGAATCCTTTGGGTACTAAGAGAACAAGTAGGGTCAAGTATCGAGTGCGAATATACTCGAGCGAGTCTCTGATTCCTTTTGTGTTGTATTTCAGAGACATCATGGTTGGGACACGCCATCACCCAGGGGGCAGTGGCACCAGTGGTACCAGTGATGAGGAGATCCGTAGGCTGATTCACGAGGAGGTGGTCGCGGCCATCCGAGCTGAGATACCAGAGATGTTCGGGTCTATCAAGACCACGTTGATCGAGACTTTTGATGAGCGGTACGCTGCTCTCACTGAGGCTGCTGTTGCTGCGGCCACCGCAGCCGTCGCTGGTGCCAGGCCGCATGGGGGTGACTCGTTGCTGTACCGAGAAATTCAGCAACACGAAGCCACCAGAGTTTGATGGGACGCAGGATCTGATTGCTGCGATGAGATGGGTTTCTGATATTGAGGGATGCTTTTATACGTGTTCTTGTCCGGAGCATATGAGAGTTTGGTTCGCGCTGAACCAGCTTCGCTTGGGAGCGAAGGACTGGTGGAAGTTTGTGACAGGGCACTACACACCTGCAGAGTCTGCCGCAGTGACCTAAGAGAGGTTCACCGCTATGTTTCGTGATGAGTACGTTCCCCCGGTGGAGAGGGAAGGTTTGGCCCAGGAGTTTCTGACCCTCAAGCAGGGTACTGAGTCTGTTACTATGATCACCAGGATGTTCCATGAGAGGGCGATGTTTTGCCCTGAGCACGTGTCTACCGAGCAAGCACGTATGAGTCGGTATCTGAGTATTCTGAGGAGGGACATACGAGAGTTCGTGGCGAACTCGTCATACCGGACATTTGCTGAGCTTCAGGCAAATGCCCAAAAGAGGGAGATAGAGCTAGAGACTCAGGCTAGAGAGGAGGCGGAGTCTCAGGGGAGAGATCGGCGACCGGCACAGTCCCAGCTGGCAGCCAAGCGGGCCAAGCCCGCCGATTCGAGATCAGGGAACCAGAAGGGCCGCACTTGTGGCAAGTGCGGCAAGGGTCACGAGGGAGTTTGTAGAGCAGGGTCTTGCTACAAGTGTGGCAAGGAGGGGCACATGGCCAAGGATTGCCCCAAGGGGTTCGCAGTTTGTTTTCACTGCAACCAGACCGGACACCGGAAGGCAGAGTGTCCGCAGTTGCGAGGGTCAGCTCAGGGAGCTTCTCAAGGATCTGTCCCTGCTGCCGTGCGAGCTACGGAGAGTCGGCCAGTGAAGGCCGAGGCGCCAAAGGCTCGCGGGAGAGCCT